GTGGGCGATAATACTCGCGCTACTATGGAGCAGAGCCAGACCGAACTTCCCCGGACTCAAACCTTGTGGGCGGGACTAAGTTCGGAATGGCACCCAGGCTAGCATGAACCTGCCGCTTTTTAGAAAAAACTAATTCTATAGAAGTCTTTCTAAACATACAGACCGTTTGGGGCCCCCACAGCTCTATCAGTGACCAGGGGCCCCACAGTGACCAGGGGCCCCACAGCTCTATTAGAAACCAGCCCCCCCCTACAGCTCCATCAGTGACCAGGATGAGGATTTAAACCGGTTGTCTCCATGGAAACATAGACCTGTCTGCAGTCTCTCTGTGGTCTTTGTGGACAGCGCTGTTTGCAGCTATAAGCAGATCTTTCTACCTAGAATGTGAAAGTCTTACTGGCTGCTCCTTCATAGATCTTTGGGTTGCTTCCTTTCCTCAGGAACTCCAGAGCGATGCGGCAGAACTCCTCCACCACTGGAAGGAAAACATGCAGAGAACGAAACATCACAGACCTGCTGGTTCATTTAAAGCAGAAATAAAACAACCAGAGGAGGTCTGTGACCAACCGGCTTCATCAGAAAGCTTTTAAAGAAAGAAACGATCAAAACGAAAAGATCAGATAAAACAAGAAGAGGAAACATTAACTTCACTTTAAACTCTAAACCTGCTTTAAGGACACAAGTATGAAAGCAGAGAAATAAAAATAAAACAAAGAATTAAGATCACCAAATAAAGTCTCTTTATTTGCAGAAACAGTTTTAATATTCTGAGAATTACAAGAAACTTTTTTCATCCAACTTGGTAAAGATTTAGAGCAACATTAAAGAAAATCATGTTCTTTAATAAATATTAACTTTTCTGTCTGTTAATAAGGCGCCATATTTAACAACTTTCTCCGAGGAAGAAACAAAAACCAACCAGTAATAAATTTATTTCCATAAATCTTAAAACCTCCATAATGAAACGTTCTGCTGGTAGAGAACCAGGAAGTAATCCGCAGGTTTTCATTGGCTCAGGCGGGTCACGTGACACCCCGCTGATTCTGCAGCTGACTTGGACCAATAACCGCTGAATAAAGCAGAGGGTTCGGAACCCGGTTCGGTTCGGCTGATCTTACCCGAACCATCGACCTGGGTGAGGAAGCCCAGGTGGTCTTTATGCTCCTCAGACAGAACCAGCAGCATCCTGAGATCCTCTAGGCGGCGAGACGCCTGCCTTTCTTCTTCGCGGGTTGATTTTAGGCGCTAAAGGTGCAGTAGCGCCGCCTGCTGGTAAAGGACTCCAATAACCTTCCAATTAAATATGAATAAATGAAATCATAAGCCGGTTCTCATGTTAACTGATATCTTTAGTGTTTTAAGGTATTAGCTGCTCTTTCCTTTGACATATTATTGGATCAGAGTCTGTTTGTGATTTTTGCAGAACTCTTTGATCTGAATCATGACGTCATTCTGTCTGGAACCTTCTTGCTGCAGAGCAACAGTCCTACAGTCTGTGCCTCCATGCAGCCCTCTGATATTCTGATCTACTAGAATTAATTTCTATATCAGTTGTTTCGTTTTCTAGCTCCATTTGTCCGCCGGCGTCCCGTTTCCACCGCTGGTTCTGTTCTATATGGCGTGTTCTACACCATCTGCTCTCACTCATGGAAGATTTGATCTACATCAACTAGAATCTGAACCTATTATTGTTTGTTGAAAGATCTGAGCAGCAATCCCTTCTAGTAGAGATATTTCTTCAACAGAAACACCCGACACATTTGTTTTTCCCCACAGTTACCTGAACTTTAAACACAATTTTCTGAACTTTCTGATCCAGCAGACTTTAGATGCAGGAAATACTCAGATATTCATCGTTTGAATAATTTCAGACCAATTTCCAATGTTTATATCAGATCATTTCTATTGCTGAATGCTAATATTTAGCAGGAGTGTTTATTGAAATAATACCGATGCTGAAGCGTGACTCATAAAGACGTCTACTTATGTCAAAGAGGCTCAGAACCACAATTATGTGATTTTCAGTTTATGTATTAAATCTTTACAGAAATATTGTGCTTCATTGAATATTTTTCTATTTAGCTGAATATTCTGACATATTTTTAAGGCAATCTGTTTCCTCATTTAATCTGAGCTCCAACTACTGATCCGGTTTCACTGAGAGCCAAAGAGTGAAAATGAAGATTTCCTCAGTGAGGCTGAAAGTGATCAGAACCAATCAGTCCATCAATGTGGCCTCAGGTCCGGATCTACAGCCTCATCATTTAATCAGATCTAAGATCAACATCCAGCATCAAAGCAGAAGGAAACATTTCCTCTCCGGTTCTGCTGAGAGAGACGGGTCCAGTTCGGCCATCTTTGTCCTTTTCAGAGATTTTTGGTCCTTCTGAGTTTATTTGCAGAAAGTCTTTCATCAGTTTAACGGATGTTAATGTTTTTATTCTTTTTATTTTACTATAAAAATGTTTTCCATCTGGAAATGAAAGTTCCGTCTGGATTACAAACATCCCGGATTGCAGTTAATAATTAACCTCTGAATAAACATTTATTCTAGTTATTTTAGATCTCACTGAAAGGAAAACTTCCTAAAATGACATTTAATCACATCTTCATCTATCATAGATCTATGATAAATGTATCATAGAGCTATGATGGATGTATCATAGATCTATAATAGATGTGAACGCTCCATGAAGGTGATGCTGGTGAATCCTCAGATCAAACCATAGATCTAT